CTAAAATGCAATGTTACAAGGGAAAATTTCATATCTTAGAGATTAAGAGGTTGTTTGAGCCCCATTTTTTTTTTTTTCAAAAAATGCATTCTATAATATTGTTATGATGGAGAATGTATGATTAAAAAATAAGAAAAATTTTTGAATTTGCGTGTAATATTGTTTTATTGAAGAATGTGTGGTTGAAATGTGGTCAAATCACTATTTAAGAATGCATTTTGATGGAAAAAATGAGGTTCAAACAAGGGCTAAGTATGGCCATTTTCAAAATTAAGAAGCAATGTTTATTATTTCAAAAAATAATATATTAATTAAAATTTATTTATAAAATAATTAACTAAATATATATTTTATTAATTAAATATATTAAGGTCACAATATTATATAATTTATTATCACAGTTGTGTATTAATCACAATTACATACGTCAAAATCACAAATCACGAATTTTATAGGTCATAACTTATTTTTTGTTCACAAATTTATTAAATTAATAGGTCACGCATTATTCATTGGATATGAATCACAAATTTTACAAGTCACGATTTATATCATGATCACAAACTATGAAATTAATTAGTCACAAATTATCAAATTATTGATCATAATTTAACAATTTTTTAGATTACACATTATTTATTGTTTACAAATTGTCTATTTCATTGGTCGTCTGTTATTTATTGGTAACAAATTAATCAATTTATTGATTTAAATCAATTAAATAATTTGTGACTACCACCACCTCGCCACCTTTCGTGTCACCACCACTACAACAACAATAAAAACCAAGATCTCAACGCCAATTGGAAATCGTCGATGGTCGAAATGTTATCGACATGAATTACAATCCATCATTTGTGGTTGACTGGGCGATTTGGACAGTTGGTCGGTGGCTTCTCCAAATCTGTGATCCGTGGATCGTGGCCAATTATGTATATTATGTCACCAGTTGTGACTTGGTCACATACAGTCATGGTGAAATTGATCTGGTCATAGACAGTGACACTAAAGGCAAATTTGGTCACAATTAGTCATAGATAACACATGTCAAAAAATTGATTACATACAGTAACTTGATAATTTTCTAGGTATGGGTTAGGGTGGTTCCATGGGGTGGGATGTAATCTCCAATTCTTAGTTTCTGGAAAATTTTCTTGGGGATAATCATGGGGTAGGTGCGGTGGAAGTGATATGTAGATTATATTATTACTATCATTTATAATTTACCACCTGATTTTAAAAATATCTTAGGACTTGTTTGGAAGTTCTTTTTTTTTACCTATTTTGAGTGGCTCCGTTTAAGAGTGAGAAAAATCGATACTTGTTAATTTTTAGGGACATCGTTTTTGAATGGGAAATTTGGCCATTTAGCCTAGTTGGACAATGTATTTGGTGAAATGACCTTTGACCAATAATAAAAACAAAAAAATAAAGCAAAATATTTTAGTTGGCAAAATAACAAAATTCTCCTTCAATTATCAACTCAACAACCCTCAATATTCCTCGTTTCATCCCTTCATTTCCCCTCCATCTTCTTCCCCTT